GGCGCGGCCAGCACAAACTGCCACCAACCGGGCAGCATCGCCCCGTGGCCCAGCAGCATGGGCGCCACCAGCGGCAGGCTCAGCAGCACGCCGATCAACACCGGCCAACCGGTCTGCGCCCAGGGTGCCCTCACCGGCTGGGCCGGCTCGTCCAGCGTGGCCGGGTAGCCGGCCTTGGCCAGCGCGGCCAGCAGCGGCGCGGTCTCTGCACCGTCCTGCAGCGCGACGCTGGCCGTCTCGGTGGCCAGATTGACGTCTGCGGACAACACTCCCGGCTGCTTGCGCAGCGCCTTCTCGACCCGGCCGACGCAGCTCGCGCAGCTCATGCCGGACACCTTCAACCTCAGTGAACTCATGGCTGAAGTATCGGAACTAGCATGCGTCCCTGCCTTGACCGGCCTCAGGAGTCCCCACGATGTATCAGTTCACCTTGCCCGACATGAGCTGCGGCCACTGCGTCGCCGCCATCACCGAAGCGTTGCAGGAAGTCGACGCTCAGGCCCGCGTCGACATCGACCGCGGCACCAAGACCGCCCAGGTCGACAGCGCCCTGCCCCGCGAAACACTGGCCGCCGCGCTCGCCGAAGCCGGCTATCCGCCCGCGCCGGAACCCTCCCGCGTTTGAGGGGGGTGCCCCCGAAGCCCGGGACACGCGAAACCACCGCCGGCCCCTAGCATCGCCCGACTCGCTTTTCGGAGCTGCCATGCCCGCACTCAACAAGATCGCCCTGACCGCTGCGCTGACGCTGCTTACCTCCCCGGCCTGGGCCGCGCTGACCTATACCGGCACGGGCAGCTACAACCTCGGCACGCCGAGCAACGTCGGCGCTACCGCGGCGCCCACGACGTCCTGCGGCAGCATCTCGGGCCAGGACGCGCTGCAGTTCACCGGCGTCAATGCGGACAACATCGGCCTGCACGCCTACGCCTGCGATGACAACATCGTCAGCTTCGGCAGCCGCTCGTCGGGCGAAGGCACCTACTTCGTGCAAGGTATCGCGTCGGTGCTGGGCTCGCTGAGCGTCGGCGAGGACAACTACTCCTTCAACTTCTACATCAACCCCGGTGAAGTCGGCGCTTTCGGCAGCACGGGTTTCGCGGCAGGCGAGTTCCAGACGTCCAAGCTGACGATCAAACTCACCATCGACGGCACGACCTACGTGGACGAAGCCTGGAGCGCCACCGTCGGCACCGCCGGCGACACCAGCACGAGCGGCTACACCAGCAACGGCACCTACACGGTCGGCACGAACGTCGACAGCGGCTCGGGCTACTACAGCTTCGGCCTGCAGGGCGGCTACTACAGCATCGCGCTGGGCCAGGGCGATCACGACATCTCCTACGTGATGACATCCGAAGCCTCCGGCAGCGTCAGCAACACCAGCATCTGCACCGCCTACCTGCAAGGCAACCCGCGCCAGGAAGCCACGCGTGCTCTCGTCGCCGAAGTGCCGGCCGACGGCCCGCCCACCGGCGAGGCCTTCACGTCCTACTGCGGCGCCGGCGCTCGCTCAGGCGACCCCTTCCCGTCCTTCGACCCGGCCAACGACTTCGGCCCCATCGCCCGCGCACAGGCCGTCGAGGAACTGCCCGAGCCGATGACGGCCGCCCTGACGCTGACGGCCCTGCTGGCCGCGGCCGGCGTGCGTCGCCGCAACAAGCGCTGAGCAGCGCAACCCCCAAAGAAAAGGCGGGCCGCATGGCCCGCCTTTTTTCATGCCCGCTCCGC